TTAATTTTTGTTTACCATTGCAGGATGGTTTTTCTTTCATTCTGATTCAGTAGAAAAAATAAAAATGGAATTTCTCACAAAAAGGACATTCTGGTTCCTGACCCGCTCCAGTGCAAAGCACCAATTCCTTCTCCATGTTACTAGACATATCCAGCACACGAGCCACATAGACAGCAACATCTAAAGACCTGTGGCTGAAGTTCTGTGCCCACATCTCTAGCTACTCCTGTGCACCTCCTTCAGTGAGACAGCCATGGAATCCTTTCCAGTAACTACACTGCGTGCAGATCTGGTCACCCCTTAGCAAAAAATATTTATTTGAATTGGAAAACGTACAGAAAAAAGCAACAAAAATTGGGCAAAAAAAGTGATTAGGGGTATGGAATGTCTTCCATATGCGGAGCGATTAATAAGACTGGGACCTTTCAGCTTGGAAAAGAGACAGCTAAGGGGGGATATGATAAAGGTCTATAAAATCATGACTGGCATGGAGAAAGTAAATAAGGAAGTGTTATTTATTCCTTCTGGTAACACAAAGAACTAGGGGTCACCCAATGAAATTACTAGGCAGCAGGTTTAAAACAATCAAAAGGAAGTGTTTCTTCACACAACGCACAGTCAACCTGTGCAACTCTTTGCCAGAGGATGCTGTAAAGGTCAAGGCTATAATTGGGTTCAGAAAAGAACTAGATAAGTATAGGGAGAAAAGTCTATCAATGGCTATTAGCCAGGATGGGCTCGGATGGTGTCATAGAATATCAGGGTTGGAAAAGACCTCAGGAGGTCATCTAGTCCAACCCCCTGCTCAAAGCAGGACCAATCCCCAATTTTTGCCCCAGATCCCAAATGGCCCCCTCAAGGATTGAACTCATAACCCTGGGTATAGCAGGTCAATGCTCAAACCACTGAGCTATACCTCCCCCCCCAAAATAGAACATCAAGAGCAATTTCCTTTATTTTTGAATCACTTTGTCCACGTGGGCACCAATGATACTGCCAAGAATGACCTTGAGCGGATCACTGCGGACTACGTGGCTCTGGGAAGAAGGATAAAGGCGTTTGAGGCGCAAGTGGTCTTCTTGTCCATCCTCCCCGTGGAAGGAAAAGGCCTCGGTAGAGACTGTCGAATCGTGGAAGTCAACGAATGGCTACGCAGGTGGTGTCGGAGAGAAGGCTTTGGATTCTTTGACCATGGGATGGTGTTCCAAGAAGGAGGAGTGCTAGGCAGAGACGGGGTCCACCTAATGAAGAGAGGGAAGAGCATCTTCGCAAGCAGGCTGGCTAACCTAGTGAGGAAGGCTTTAAACTAGGTTCACCAGGGGAAGGAGACCAAAGCCCTGAGGTAAGTGGGGAAGTGGGATACTGGGAGGAAGCAGGAGTGCGCGAGAGGCAGGGCTCCTGCCTCATACTGAGAAAGAGGGATGATCATTGAGTTATCTCAAGGGCCTATACACAAATGCAAGAAGCCTGGGAAACAAGCAGGGAGAACTGGAAGTCCTGGCATGGTCAAATTATATGTGATTGGAATACATACAAATTATGATGTGATTGGAATAACAGAGACTTGGTGGGATAACTCACATGACTGGAGTACTGTCATGGATGGATATAAACTGTTCAGGAAGGACAGGCAGGGCAGAAAAGGTGGGGGAGTAGCACTGAATGTAAGGGAGCAGTATGACTGCTCAGAGCTCAAGTATGAAACTGCAGAAAAACCTAAGTGTCTCTGGATTAAGTTTAGAAGTGTGAGCAACAAGGGTGATGTCGTGGTGGGAGTCTGCTATAGACCACCGGACCAGGGGGATGAAGTGGATGAGGCTTTCTTCTGGCAACTCACGGAAGTTACTAGATCGCAGGCCCTGGTTCTCATGGGAGACTTCAATCACCCTGATATCTGCTGGGAGAGCAATACAGAGGTGCACAGACAATCCAGGAAGTTTTTGGAAAGTGTAGGGGACAATTTCCTGGTGCAAGTGCTGGAGGAACCAACTAGGGGCAGAGCTCTTCTTGACCTGCTGCTCACAAACCAGGAAGAATTAGTAGGGGAAGCAAAAGTGGATGGGAATCTGGGAGGCAGTGACCATGAGATGGTTGAGTTCAGGATTGTGACACAGGGAAGAAAGGAGAGCAGCAGAATACAGACCCTGGACTTCAGAAAAGCAGAGTTTGACTCCCTCAGGGAACTGATGGGCAGGATCCCCTGGGAGAATAACATGAGGGGGAAAGGAGTCCAGGAGAGCTGGCTGTATTTTAAAGAATCTTTATTGAGGTCACAGGGACAAACCATCCCGATGTGTAAAAAGAATAGTAAATATGACAGGTGACCAGCTTGGCTTAACAGTGAAATCCTTGCTGATCTTGAACACAAAAAAGAAGCTTACAAGAAGTGGAAGATTGGACAAATGACCAGGGAAGAGTATAAAAATATTGCTCGGGGATGCAGGAGTGAAATCAGGAAGGCCAAATCACACCTGGAGTTGCAGCTAGCAAGAGACGTTAAGAGTAACAAGAAGGGTTTCTTCAGGTATGTTAGCAACAAGAAGAAAGTCAAGGAAAGTGTGGGCCCCTTACTGAACGAGGGAGGCAATCTAGTGACAGAGGATGTGGAAAAAGCTAATGTACTCAATGCTTTTTTTGCCTCTGTCTTCACGAACAAGGTCAGCTCCCAGACTACTGCACTGGGCAGCACAGCATGGGGAGGAGGTGACCAGCCCTCTGTGGAGAAAGAAGTGGTTCGGGACTATTTAGAAAAGCTGGATGAGTACAAGTCCATGGGTCCGGATGCGCTGCATCCGAGAGTGCTAAAGGAGTTGGCGGATGTGATTGCAGAGCGATTGGCCATTATCTTTGAAAACTCGTGGCGATCGGGGGAAGTCCCGGATGACTGGAAAAAGGCTAATGTAGTGCCCATCTTTAATAAAGGGAAGAAGGAGGATCCTGGGAACTACAGGCCAGTCAGCCTCACCTCAGTCCCTGGAAAAATCATGGAGCAGGTCCTCAAGGAATCAATTTTGAAGCACTTAGAGGAGAGGAAAGTGATCAGGAACAGTCAGCATGGATTCACCAAGGGCAAGTCATGCCTGACTAATCTAATTGCCTTCTATGACGAGATAACTGGCTCTGTGGATGAGGGGAAAGCGGTGGACGTGTTGTTCCTTGACTTTAGCAAAGTTTTTGACACGGTCTCCCACAGTATTCTTGCCAGCAAGTTAAAGAAGTATGGGCTGGATGAATGCACTATAAGGTGGATAGAAAGTTGGCTAGATTGTCGGGCTCAGTGGGTAGTGATCAATGGCTCCATGTCTAGTTGTCAGCCGGTATCAAGTGGAGTGCCCCAAGGGTCGGTCCTGGGTCCAGTTTTGTTCAATATCTTCATAAATGATCTGGAGGATGGTGTGGATTGCACCCTCAGCAAGTTTGCAGATGACACTAAACTGGGAGGAGAGGTAGATACGCTGGAGGGTAGGGATAGGATACAGAGGGGCCTAGAAAAATTAGAGGATTGGGACAAAAGAAATCTGATGAGGTTCAACAAGGACAAGTGCAGAGTCCTGCACTTAGGACGGAAGAACCCCATGCACCGCTACAGACTAGGGACTGAATGGCTCGGCAGCAGTTCTGCAGAAAAGGACCTAGGGGTGACAGTGGACGAGAATCTGGATATGAGTCAACAGTCTGCCCTTGTTGCCATGAAGGCCAATTGCATTTTGGGATGTATAAGTAGGGGCATTGCCAGCAGATCGAGGGATGTGATCATTCCCCTCTATTCGACATTGGTGAGGCCTCATCTGGAGTACTGTGTCCAGTTTTGGGCCCCACACTACAAGAAGGATGTGGAAAAATTGGAAAACGTCCAGCGGAGGGCAACAAAAATGATTAGGGGACTGGAACACATGACTTATGAGGAGAGGCTGAGGGAACTGGGATTGTTTAGTCTATGGAAGAGAAGAATGAGGGGGGATTTGATACCTGAAAGGGGGTTCCAAAGAGGATGGATCTAGACTGTTCTCAGTGGTAGCTGATGACAGAACAAGGAGTAATGGATTTGTATTTTATTCTTTTGAAATTGTTAAGAGCAGCAATGACTTAGCTCAGACTGAAGCATCTCATCTAATTTACTAGATCATAGTGTCTCCCCTTTGTGTACGATGAGACAGTTTAGTGCACTGTGATGAACAGGAGATGCTCTTGTTTTTGAACAAATATTTTTGCAAAGAATTTTCATCCTACTTGCTATGATTTCAAGAAATAAAGTGGTTACATCTGAATGGATTTTCAGACAGAAAATGGTTTCCATGAAAATGTTCACAACTGATTTCCTGGGTTCTATCCCTGCCTCCGGGTGGGGGGGTTGTTGTCTGTTAGTTAGAACAGGAGTCAGGACTGTTGTCTTCTCTTTCTGGCTCTTTCACCGCTTTGCTGTGTGACACCTTGGGTAGGTCCAGTGGGAATAGGGTCAATTCTCTAAGTCCAGGCAGCAGGGAGCCTGGGTGAGATAAGGGATGTTAAGGCCGTCTGCGAAGGAGAAAGGGATGTTTCCAGGTGTTGAACGTCAATAATTCTAAACTTTGCTAAAATGGCTAGTCTGGAGAAACAAGAACTAGTTGGGGCCAAACTTTAACCATTGTCTTTTTTAAAGCTGATTCAGGGATGTGAGTCCCAGAGAGCCATAGAGAGGGGGAGCAACTTGCCCAAAGTCCCACAGATCAAGAGGCAGCAAAGGAAGCAGGAGTGACCCTCCCTCTCAAAGTCAGGGGGACCAGACATTAGGGCCTGGTTGCAATTGCCAGCTGTGGGAGGGAGTGTGCAGCAGTGGTTAGTGAAGGGGTCCATCCATGGCTCTGACACTCAGTGTGACCCTGAGATGGTAGCTGAGGCCCGTTTGCCATCAGTAGGGTTGGGGTCCCATCGCTACAGCCCAGCGGGGTTGGGAGGCTCCAGGAAGGTGTGTAAAGTGCTGGGATGTCAGGATCCCGGCGGCGCTATCACCTCCGCCCTAGGGCCGTGTTCTGCACCCCCCTGCTGCTGGCTGAGTTTCTCCGTCCCTTGGCAATCAGACAGACTCTTGTTTTCACAGCCAGTCGATCGCCCTCGTGTCATCACCCTGCCTGCTGGCTGGTCACCATCCTGAGGTCTCCTGAGGTCACCATCCTCTCCAGCCTGCCTTGGGCTTGGAGAGTGAGGAGGAGGGCAAGGGACGTCTGCTGACCCTGAACATCCGCCATCCATTATCCCATCACTGAGAGCAAGTGAGTGGCATTCGGGTTCCTCAGTGGCTTCCCCTCTCTGTCTGGGGAGAGGCAGAATCAGGGAGAGACTATCTCCAAAGAGGGATTTCATTTGCAAACAGTCCCCAAGAGCCCCTCACTCTCCGACCGGGCAGGGGCTTCTCCAGAGCCGTCTCCAGTGTGTTTGGAAAGGTTCCAGCAATGGGGCTCCCAGCCCTTCCCTTGTGGGACACTGTTCCCCAGGCTGAGAGTCTCTGAGCTGGGCCAGACCCTGTGAGCTGCTGAGCCTGGAAATCAATGGGGAATGAGGAGGGCCCTGGTCATGGTTCTGCTCTGAACCCTCCTGCTTCTCAGCGTCCTCTGGAACTGGTCGCTCGGTCAGCACCGGTCAGAGATGGCAAAGCACTGGTGTCACTGCTCCAGCCGAGCGCCCCTCTGACCCCACCCCACCCTATGGACACGTTTCCCAGATCTCAATGCCCGGTCTGAGCTCTCTCCCTCCCCCGCCTCCAGGGTTTCACACCGAGCAGGTTCCCGTGGGCTGCGCTCTGAGCGGCCAGGCCCTCATGGACCCGAGGTTCCAGTATGCCTACGATGGGAGGGACTTCATCAGCTTTGACGACCAGACGGGGACGTGGGGTGCGGCTGAGCAGCTGGCCTTCCCTCAGAAGCAGAGCTGGGAGACGGGCAAGACGTGGACTCAGTACGTCCGGTGGTACTTGAAATGAGTGTCTGGACACCCTGCAGAGCCCAGTGCAGCAGGGCAGTGGGGTCCTGCGGCAGCAGGGTGAGTGAGCCTGCAAGGAGCTAGCATGGGGTGCGGGAGGGGCACAGTCACACCAATGGGACTTAGGTACAGAGGTGCCGACTTCCCAATGCTCCAGGGGATGCTCAACCCCCACTCTGACCCAGGCCCTGCCTCCACTCCACCCCTTCCTGCCCCACCTCTTCCCCCACCTGCTCTGCCCCCCACTCCAACCCCTCTGCCTCTCCCCACCCTGATCTGCCCCCTTCCCCCTCGTGTGCCGCCCCCTCCCCCTCCCCCTGTGAGCCTCCTGCATGACACAGAACAGCTGACTGTGACGGGCAGACGGCGTTGCGGGGGAGGGAGGCGCTGATCGGGAGGGCTGCTGAGCACCCACCATGTTTTTTCCTGTCGGTGCTCCAGCCCCGGAGCACCCACGGAGCCGACGCCTATGCTTGGGTATCTCCGGAAAGGGTGGTGTGGCTGGGCAGATGAACTGTGATGAAGCGCGCCTGAGTTCTATTCCAGCTCTGTCCCTGGCCTGCTGGGTCACCCTGGGCCAGTCACAACCCCTCTCTGTGCCTCAGTTTCCTCATCTGTACAATGGGGATAATGAAGCTGACCTTTTTTTGTAAAGTGCATGGAGATGGAGCAATGGCGAGCTTGTCGAGAACTGCGGGTTGTTCTCAGTTGTTACCAGTGCAGACAGATTATTAGCTGGTGCTAGCAGTTCTGGCTGCCTGGGCGCCTCCATTCTGCAAGCCCTTTCCTGTTGGCTTCCAGCTCCCTCCAACGTCTCCTTTTTGGGCTGAACCGTTTCAGCCCTGGGTTGTGAGTTGATTAATTTTGGCAAGTTTGAGCCGGAAAAGGCCCAGCCGTCTGTGCGTGTGAAGGCAGCAGACTGGGAATGGGCCGGGGGATGCATTTTGTCATTCGACAGAGAAAAAACACTTGCCTTGAGCTTCTTTTGCCCAGTGCTAGCACCTCCTCAGTCGAGGGCAGAGGCGTGGAAAGGGCCAGGGACTCGGGGCAGTGTGGCAGCGGGATTGAAGTGCCCGAGGATGCAGAGAGGGGCCTGCTGGGATTTCCAAAGGGAGGCGCCTGACTCCCTGTGAAATCACCGGGGTTAGGCACCGAGGGGGGCTGGAAATCCAACTGGCCCTTAGCCCCCTAAATCACACATGCGTGTTTGGAGGGTCCAGTGAAAACCTGCCTGGATGTAGCTGGGTTACGGTGCAGGAGCATGCGCAGTGAAGGAGACCTGGGCCCAGGCTTCTGCTGGTACCTACCCAGTTCAGCTACACCAATATGAGAAAGGATTAGAACAGAGGGGATTGACACCAGATTAACTAACTCCATTTACGAAGCAGTGTAAATGGGTGCAGACCAGGTCTCTCTCACATGTGAGTACTACTCAAATTCAAACTGGAACAGGTGCAGAGAAGGGCTACTAGGATGATCTGAGGAATGGAGAGGAGACTCAAAGAGGTTGGCTTATTTAGCCTAAACAAGGAGCATATGATGGGTCCACCTACAATGGTGTGAGGCCCATTGGTGACTGCCAGTAGCAAAAATCCCCAATGACCAGAGACAGGACATTAGATGGGGAGGGCTATGAGTTGCTACAGAGAATTCTTTCCCAGGTATCTGGCTGGTGGGTCTCACCCACATACTCAGTGTCTAATTGATCACCAGATTTGGGGTCAGGAAGGAATTTTCCGCCAGGAGAGACTGGCAGAGACCTTGGGGGGTGGGGTTGTTGCCTTCCTCTGCAGCATGGGGCACGAGTCACTGCTGCTTTAAACTAGTGTCAATGGTGAATTCTCTGTAACTTGAAATCTTTAAATCATGATTTGAGGACTCCAGTCGCTCAGGCAGAGGTTAGGGTCTGTTGCAGGAGCAGGTGGGTGAGGTTCTGTGGCCTGCAATGTGCAGGAGGTCAGACTAGATGACCACAATGGTCTCTTCTGACCTTAGTCTATCAGACATGCTGCAGGGCCTTTACCTGTTCTGTTACATGGTCCCAGCCCCCGGCATCTGGGTAACGCCCTGTGTCTCCTCCCAGTGCCCCCCAAGGTCTCAGTTTCCCGCAGAGATGCCCCCGATGGCTCCATCACCCTCTCCTGCTACACCAGGGGTTCTTACCCACGTCCCATCCACATCTCCTGGATGCGGGATGGAAAAGACATCCTGGTGGAGAAAGAGTCCAGCGGGATCCTGCCCAACGCTGACGGCACCTACTACATGCAATCGTCTCTTGAGATCTCCCTGCAGGAGGAGGACAGGCACTGCTATGCCTGCCGGGTAGAGCACAGCAGCCTGGCAGAGCCTGCGCTTGTCTGGGGTAAGGGTGGGGCGAATGGCGGGGGGAGGGGGCACAGCCCTCTTGGAGTTTCAGAGATGGGGTGAGCCCCTGTAGCAGAAGGGTCAATATCCCTGCCCATCATCAGTGTGAACTCTTCTAGTCTGGGGATTTGTGTGACCCACAGAAATGGCCGATCCCTCAGAGAATCTGATTTTCTGGCCATGGTGGCATCCAGTGACGGTGAGTTCCACAGGCTGATGTTATTACAAGTGAAAGGCCCAGCTACTGTGTGGCGTGTATGGCTGGCAGTGCCCAGCAGAGTGCCCGGTCTTGTGCCCCATCCCTGTCCACCTCCTGCCTCGGACTTTCCTCTCCTCTGGCCAGGGATAGGCCCTTGGGGAGAGGTTCAAGGCAAAGGCCTGTGGCTGACCCAGGAGGATGGTTCAGTGGGTGCTCCCCTCGCTGACCTGAGTCCTTCTCCGTCCCACAGCCCCTGGGAAGAAGGGCTCCCTGCCCCTCTGGGTCCTGGCCTCCATTGCCCTGGCTGCGCTGGTTCTGGCTGGAGCTGTAGGAGCCAGCGTTACCCTGTGGAGGAGAAAATCAGCAGGTAACAGCTGGTCCCTGTGGAGCTGGGATGTATGCGGGGGGAGGGCTCGGGAATGGGGCAGCCCAGCCAGCCCAAGGGTGAATGGGTCCTCCCACCCCCAAGGAGAGGTGGGGCAGCGCTAATCACAGTAGCCTGGTCCTGCTGGGGGCAGAGTGGGCTCTGTCTTTGACTGGGCATCTTATTGTGGGGGGGTCACTGGGGTAGGGCTGGCCTCGGCGAGGTGCAGTCAGGGTCACGGGGAGCCTTGTGTTTGGAGCCTCTGTGTGGAGCAGGACTTGCGGAAAGATGAGGATCTATCCTTCTCTGGCTGTGGCTGAGGGGATGTGGAACAGGTTTTTTCCCTATTTCTTTTCCAGTTCCAACTTTTTGCTGGCTTTTCATTTTTAAGAAATGATTTCTGGGGGCTGACACACGACCTCCAATGTCTCAGATACCTACAGACCTGCGGACTGTGTGGATTTTTGGGTAACAAAGTGTGATGATGGGGGTTCCCCTATCACAGTAGTGCTACCTCTCCCTTTCCTCATGCTCTGGTCCAGGGGCAGCGCGTTATGACAGACGGGGGCATTCCTGTCACCATTTGCTACGAGTGTGACATTTCTATTTTAAATTTGGACACAAATAAAGTACCTTTGTGATTGGGAAATGTGTTCTACAGCATTGAACCTCGGGGCGAGTGTAGTAACTCCTTGCTTAACGTTGTAGTTATGTTCCTGAAAAATGCGACTTTAAGCGAAATGATGTTAAGTGACTCCAGTTTCCCCATAAGAATGAATGTAAATGGGGGGGGGGTGAGGTTCCAGGGAATTTTTTTTCACCAGACAAAAGACTACACACACACACTCTATAAGTTTTAAACAAACAATTTTCCTAGATGCGATAACTGATGAATTCCTTCATCAAGTAGTTGCTGAACCGACAAGAGGGGATGCCATTTTAGATTTGGTTTTGGTGAGTAGTGAGGACCTCATAGAAGAAATGGTTGTAGGGGACAATCTTGGTTCAAGTGATCATGAGCTAATTCAGTTCAAACTGAACGGAAGGATTAACAAAAATAAATCTGTGACTAGGGTTTTTGATTTGAAAAGGGCTGACTTTCAAAAATTAAGGAAATTAGTTAGGGAAGTGGATTGCACTGAAGAATTTATGAATCTAAAGGTAGAGGAGGCCAGGGATTATTTTAAATCAAAGCTGCAGAAGCTATCAGAAGCCTGCATCCCAAGAAAGGGGAAAAATTCATAGGCAGGAATTGTAGACCAAGCTGGATGAGCAAGCATCTCAGAGAGGTGATTAAGAAAAAGCAGAAAGCATACAGGGAGTGGAAGATGGGAGGGATCAGCAAGGAAAGCTACCTTATTGAGGTCAGAACATGTAGGGATAAAGTGAGACAGGCTAAAAGTCAAGTAGAGTTGGACCTTGCAAAGGAAATTAAAACCAATAGTAAAAGGTTCTATAGCCATATAAATAAGAAGAAAACAAAGAAAGAAGAAGTGGGACCGCTAAACACTGAGGATGGAGTGGAGGTCAAGGATAATCTAGGCATGGCCCAATATCTAAACAAATATTTTGCCTCAGTCTTTAATAAGGCTAAAGAGGATCTTAGGGATAATGGTAGCATGAAAATGGGAATGAGGATATGGAGGTAAATATTACCATATCTGAGGTAGAAGCGAAACTCAAATAGCTTAATGCTACTAAATCAGGGGGCCCAGATAATCATCATCCAAGAATATTAAAGGAACTGGCACATGAAATTGCAAGCCCATTAGCAAGAATTTTTAATGAATCTGTAAACTCAGGGGTTGTACCGTATGATTGGAGAATTGCTAACATAGTTCCTATTTTTAAGAAAGGGAAAAAAAGTGATCCGGGTAACTACAGGCCTGTTAGTTTGACATCTGCAAGGTCTTGGAAAAAATTTTGAAGGAGAGGTAGTTAAGGACATTGAAGTCAATGGTAAATGGGACAAAATACAACATGGTTTTACAAAAGGTAGATCGTGCCAAACCAACCTGATCTCCTTCTTTGAGAAAGTAACAGATTTTTTAGACAAAGGAAACGCAGTGGATCTAATTTACCTAGATTTCAGTAAGGCGTTTTATACGGTGCCACATGTGGAATTATTAGTTAAATTGGAAAAGATGGGGATCAAGATGAAAATTGAAAGGTGGATAAGGAATTGGTTAAAGGGGAGACTACAATGGGTCCTACTGAAAGGTGAACTGTCAGGCTAGAGGGAGGTTACCAGTGGAGTTCCTCAAGGATCTGTTTGGGACCAATCTTATTTAATCTTTTTATTACTGACCTCGGCACAAAAAGTGGGAGTGTGCTAATTAAGTTTGCGGATGATACAAAGCTGGGAGGTTTTGCCAATTTAGAGAAGGACATGGATATCATACAGGAGGATCTGGATGACCTTGTAAACTGGAGTAATAGTAATAGGATGAAATTTAATAGTGAGAAGTGCAAGGTCATGCATTTAGGGATTAATAACAAAAATTTTAGTTATAAGCTGGGGACGCATCAATTAGAAGTAACGGAGGAGGAGAAGGACCTTGGAGCATTGGTTGATCATAGGATGACTATGAGCCGCCAATGTGATATGGCTGTGAAAAAAGCTAATGCGGTCTTGGGATGCATCAGGAAAGGTATTTCCAGTAGGGATAAGGAGGTTTTAGAACCATTATACAAGGCACTGGTGAGACCTCACCTGGAATACTGTGTGCAGTTCTGGTCTCCCATGTTCAAGAAGGATGAATTCAAACTGGAACAGGTACAGAGAAGGGCTACTAGGATGATCTGAGGAATGGAAAACTTGTCTTATAAAAGGAGACTCAAGGAGCTTGGCTTGTTTAGCCTAACTAAAAGAAGGGTGAGGGGAGATATGATTGCTCTCTATAAATATATCAGAGGGATAAATACCGGAGAGGGAGAGGAATTATTTAAGCTCAGTACCAATGTGGACACAAGAACAAATGGATATAAACTGGCCACCAGGAAGTTTAGATTTGAAATTAGACGAAGGTTTCTAACCATCAGAGGAGTGACGTTTTGGAATAGCCTTCCAAGGGAAGCAGTGGGGGCAAAAGATCTATCTGGCTTTAAGATTAAACTCGATAAGTTTATGGAGGAGATGGTATGATGGGATAACATGATTTTGGTAATTAAATATTCATGGTAAATAGGCCTAATAGCCTGTGATGGGATGTTAGATGGGGTGGGATCTGAGTTACCCAGGGAAGAATTTTCTGTAGTATCTGGCTGGTGAATCTTGCCCATATGCTCAGGGTTCAGCTGATCGCCATATTTGGGGTTGGGAAGGAATTTTCCTCCAGGGCAGATTGGAAGAGGCCCGGGAGGTTTTTTGCCTTCCTCTGTAGCATGGGGCACGGGTCACTTGCTGGAGGATTCTCTGCTTCTTGAAGTCTTTAAACCACGATTTGAGGACTTCAATAGCTCAGACATAGGTGAGAGGTTTTTCGCAGGAGTGGGTGGGTGAGATTCTGTGGCCTGCGTTGTGCAGGAGGTTGGACTAGATGATCATAATGGTCTCTTCTGACCTTAATATCTATGAATCTATGAAAGTTCTGCTGGTTATCCACACAAAATGCCAGTTACAATATATACTGTCAAAAATGCTTTTTCTCTAGCTCTAACATGGTTCATCTGGCATTTTGTTAATTACATTGTCCCAGAGGAAACCAGTCGTGTCTAATGGTTATAGATGGAGATTCAGGGGGAGGATTTCAGAGATAGGTACCCAGTGGCTGTTTTCAGAGTAACAGCCATGTTAGTCTGTCTTTGCAAAAAGAAAAGGAGTACTTGTGGCACCTTAGAGACTAACCAATTTATTTGAGCATGAGCTTTCGTGAGCTATTGACTGTCAATGTGAATTAGACACCTAATCACCATATGTGCCTTTGAAAAAATCTTCCCTCAAATCACTGTTTGTAGCTCGATTTGGACCCACACATTCTATAAAATGTGTCTTTTTAAATACCACTGTCCCTTTTATTTTCTCCACCAGCTGCATGCGTTTCAAGGATCACAGGATCTCCTCCTTCCCAGAGACTAGTGAAGATTAGAAGGCGAAAAAAACACACTCATGATGAAATGTTCTCTGAGCTCATGCTGTCCTCCCACACTGACAGAGCACAGACGAATGCATAGAGGCAGACAATGTCAGAGTGCAGGAAGGCACAAAATGACCGGGAGGAGAGGTGGCGGGCTGAAGAGAGTAAGTGGCAGGCCGAAGAGAGGGCTGAAGCTGAAAGGTGGTGGCAGCGTGATGAGAAGAGGCAGGATTCAATGCTGAGGCTGCTGGAGGATCAAACTAATGCGCTCCAGTGTATGGTTGAGCTGCAGGAAAGGCAGCAGGAGCACAGATTGCCGCTACAGCCCCTGTGTAACCAATCGCCCTCCTCCCCAAGTTCCATAGCCTCCTCACCCAGACGCCCAAGAACGCGGTGGGGGGGCCTCCGGACACCCAGCAACTCCACCCCAGAGGATTGCCCAAGCAACAAAAGGCTGGCATTCAATAAGTTTTAAACTTTTAAACTTTTAAAGTTCTGTCTGTCCTTGTCCTTCCCTCCTCCACCACCCCTCCCAGGCTACCTTGGCAGTTATCCCCCTATTTGTGTGATGAATTAATAAAGAATGCATGAATGTGAAGCAACAATGACTTTATTGCCTCTGCAAGCGGTGATCGAAGGGAGGAGGAGAGGGTGCTTAGCTTACAGGGAAGTAGAGTGAACCAAGGGGCGGGGGTTTTGTCAAGGAGAAACAAACAGAACTTTCACACCGTGGCCTGGCCAGTCACGAAACTGGTCTTCAAAGCTTCTCTGATGCGCACCACGCCCTCCTGTGCTCTTCTAACTGCCCTGGTGTTGGGCTGCATGTAACCAGCGGCCAGGCGATTTGCCTCAACCTCCCACCCCGCCATAAACGTCTCCCCCTTACTCTTACAGATATTGTGGAGTGCACAGCAAGCAGTAATAACAGTGGGAATATTGGTTTCGCTGAGGTCTAAGCGAGTCAGTAAACTGCGCCAGCGCACTTTTAAACGTCCAAGTGCACATTCTACCACCATTCTGCACTTGCTCAGCCTGTAGTTGAACAGCTCCTGACTACTGTCCACGGCATTAAGGGATAGGCTGGGTCCCCAAGGATAACTATAGGCATTTCAACATCCCCAATGGTTATTTTCTGGTCTGGGAATAAAGTCCCTTCCTGCAGCTTTTGAAATAGCCAGAGTTCCTGAAGATGCGAGCGTCATGTACCTTTCCCGGCCATCCCACATTGATGTTGGTGAAATGTCCCTTGTGATCCACCAGTGCTTGCAGCACTACTGAAAAGTACCCCTTGTGGTTTATGTACTCGCCGGCTTGGTGCTTCAGTGCCAAGATAGGGATATGGGTTCTGTCTATGGCCCCACCACAGTTAGGGAATCCCATTGCAGCAAAGCCATCCACTATGACCTGCACATTTCCCAGGGTCATTACCCTTGATATCAGCAGATCTTTGATTGTGTTGGCTACTTGCATCACAGCAGCCCCCACAGTAGATTTGCCCACTCCAAATTGGTTCCCAACTGACCGGTAGCTGTCTGGCGTTGCAAGCTTCCACAGTGCTATTGCCACTCGCTTCTCAACTGTGAGGGCTGCTCTCATCTTGGTATTCATGCGCTTCAGGGCAGGGGAAAGCAAGTCATAAAGTTCCATGAAAGTGCCCTTACGCATGCAAAAGTTTCGCAGCCACTGGGAATCGTCCCAGAACTGCAACACTATGCGGTCCCACCAGTCTGTGCTTGTTTTGCGGGCCCAGAATCGGCGTTCCACTGCATGAACCTGCCCCATTAGCACCATGATGCCCGCATTGCCAGGGCCGGTGCTTTGAGAGAAGTCTGTGTCCATGTCCTCATCACTCTCGTCACCGCGCTGACATCGCCTACTCGCTCGGTATTGCTTTGCCAGGTTCTGGTGCAGCATATACTGCTGGATAATGCGTGTGGTGTTTAATGTGCTCCTAATTGCCAAAGTGAGCTGAGTGGGCTCCATGCTTGCCGTGGTATGGCGTCTGCACAGGTAACTCAGGAAAAAAGGTGCAAAATGATTGTCTGCCGTTGCTTTCACAGAGGGAAGGAGGGAAGGAGGGCCTGATGACATGTACCCAGAACCACCCGCAACAATGTTTTCTGCTCCATCAGGCATTGGGATCTCAACCCAGAATTCCAATGGGCAGTGGAGACTGCGGGAACTGTGGGATAGCTACCCACAGTGCAACACTCCAGAAGTCGATGCTTGCCTCGGTACTGTGGAAGCACTCCGCCGCGTTAATGCACTTAATGCATTTAGAGCATTTTGTGTGGGGACACACACAATCGACTATTTAAAAACGATTTCTGCAAAACCGACTTCTATAAATTCGACCTAATTTCATAGTGTAGACATACCCTTAGTCTCTAAGGTGCCACAAGGACTCCTCGTTTTTTGTTGTTTTTTTTTTTTTGCTGATACAGACTAACACGGCTACCACTGAAACCACTCCAAAAAGTTTTCCAGCACCACTGCATCCACATCTGCTGTGGCCTGAGCCCCGCTCCCGGCATGTGCCTAGCTGTGGCCTACCTTATACTCCCGGGCAGCCTCCTCTAGAGGGACCACCCTGTGAGCGCAGTGAGCCTGGGACTCCCTGCAGATCACACAGGTGAGCATTTGGTCCTGGTTACAGAAGAATTTGAAAGGCTCCTGGTGCACGTTGCACAAATCTCCTCCTTCTCCTCCTGCCGCTGCTGGGACATTCAGCTGCTTGGCTATATCTACAAAGTTCCCCAGTTGTCTGTTCGGCCTTAGGGTCTTCTGGAGAAAGGTCTCTCTGCACTGAGGGCAGGAGATGTCTGTATTTGGTCCCTTCCAGCACTGGGCGATGCAGGCTTGGCAGAAATTGTGCCCGCAATCTAAAGACACTGGATTCTTAAAAAAACTCAGACAGATGGAGCAAGTAGCTTCATCTCGGAGGCTCTTCAAAGGATTCACGGCTGCAGCCATGGCTCTTTGCAGACAGTGTAAGTTTCATTTCCTGCCAGACCCAGCAAGCAGCCTTGTAAAGCAGATTGCCCAACTGGGAGCCAGTCACGCTCTCTGGCGGGAAATTAAAACAAACAAACAAACCCATCAACAAACACACAACACACCAGAAGCCACATACTCCCACCCCCCAGAAAAGCCCCCAAACAAGCAACATGCTACTTAAAGAAATGAAGCAATTACATACACAAAGAAGCCAATAGAGACTTGCTGGGAGCAGGCTTGGCAGCTTTCTTTCTACACCACATAATAAAACCAGGCTCAGATTCAGGTTTAAGGTCAAGACCCTTCCTGTACCTCCTTTGTAAAGCGCTTTGAGGGAAAACACTATATAAGAAAAGGAGTACTTGTGGCACCTTAGAGACTAACCACAAGTACTCCTTTTCTTTTTGCGAATACAGACTAACACGGCTGTTCCTCTGAAACCTGACACTATATAAGAGTGTTACTAATCCCTAATAGTTAGAGATCATTTTAAGCCTTGACCAATTTATTCCTTCCAAAAAATTTTATCTGCATTAACTTAACTATTATAACTCTGGGGTTTCTAGTTATTCATATCCTCAATATCCAATCCCTTTTTTGAATCTTGCTAAATTACTGGCCTCAAAAACTCCATGTAGCAATGAGTTCCACAGTTTAATTACATGTTGTGTGAAAGTATTTCTTTTGATTTTGAATTTGATCCCTTTCCATTTCATTGACTGTCCTATTGTTCTTGTGTTCTGAGACAGGCAGAAAAGACGTTTCCAGTCTTCTCTGTCCCATTCATTATTTTATCCTATTCCCTCCTATTCATCTACTTTCTAAGGTAAACTATCCCATTCTTTTGAATCTTTCTTACCAAAAGAGTCTTTCCAGGCCCTTCATCATTCTCATTGCCCTTCTCTGAACCCTCTCTAATATTGCAATAGCCTTTTTCAAATGGTGTGACCAGTATTGTACACGCTACTCTAGGTCGGTGGTTTTCAAACATTTTTTCTGGCGACCCAGTTGAAGAAAATTGTTGATGCCCATGACCCAACGGAGCTGGGGATGAGGGGTTTGAGGTGTCGGAGGGGCTCAGGGCTGGGGCAGAGGGTTGGGGTACAGGGGTGAGGGGTTCAGGGTCTGGGAGGGGGTCTGGGCTGGGGCAGTGCATTGGAGTGTGTGTGGGGGGTCAGGGCTCTGGGCTGAGGGTTCAGGCTCTGGGGTGGGGCCGGGGCTGAGGGGTTTGGGGTGCAGGAGGGGGCTCCGGGTTAGGGGAGGCTTAGGGCTGGGGCAGGGGGTTGGGGCGCGCCTCAGGTTTACCTCCGGCGGCTTGTGGTCAGCAGCGCAGCTGGGGTGCAGAGGCAGGCTTCCCGCCTGTCCTGGGACCGTGAACCATGCTGCCCCCCAGAAGCAGCCAGCAGCAGGTCCAGCTCCTAGGAGGAAGCATGCACGCGGCTTCGTGTTGCTCTTGCCCACAGGCACCGCCTGCCCCCCAGCTCCCATTGGCCGGGAGTGCGGAGCTGGTCCTCAGGGCAGGGCAGCGCGCAGAGCCCCCGCCCCCCCGCATAGGAGCCGGACCTGCTGCTGGCCGCTACCAGGACGGTGTCGGAACAGGTAGGAACTAGCCTGCCTTAGCCGGGCAGCACCGCCGATGGGACTTTTAACAGCCCGGTTGGCGATTCTGACCAGAGCCATCGTGACCCAGTCCTTTGCATTCCACGACTGAGTTCTGGGTCGCGACCCATGGTTTGAGAACCACTGCTCTAGGTGAAGAGAAACCATCAGTTGATGCATCACAGCACAGGCTTGGGGGAAAGTGACCTGGATGCATGGAGCACTTGGTATTGCTCCTTCCTCCCCCGCTCACAGCCCTCTAGGGGCATGGAGGAACATTTTTTTGGGGGGGAGCAGTATCTGTGCATCACCACTCATGCCCCCCCGCCCCATGTTCTCCGAGGGGAGGGAGCAGGGAAAAATCTGGGCGCCCCCCTCAGCGCTCCCCTGCCAGCTGGGAGAAGTTTCTGACTACACCAGCAGCCTGCTGCACAGCATCCTCTGGACCACCAGCGCCCCTGGACAGTCACCCAGGTGGCCCACCCCTAAGGCTGGCCCAGGTTTCTGTGCGCGTGTGTTTGTATCTGCCTGTCCATTGCCGGACGTTAACAGACAGCCTCGCATTTACACTTACACTAATTTATTATTAACAGAAACACATCGACCTACTGTCATGGCAGGATTTTCTTGCCCTAATCAGTACTTCTGTGTACCTGAGTGAGCCAAAATTGGGTGAAAATCGGTAAAAACCAAATAACGCCCTACATGCACACCACAGCCATGCACACGGGCCACAGACACCCCAGGTTCCGCTGTAAGCAGTTTGCCCATCCGCCCCTCCCATCCTCAGGGCATTTGCCCATGTGGGGAGCTCTACAGGGGGCAGTTAGCCCCCCCGCCAATTGATTCCCCTAATCAAGCCAATGACTTTCAGAGGCGCAGGCTGAGAGATCATCCTTCCTGATTCCCCCTCGGCACAGTGCCGTGTGAGTTACTGATGGATCCCAGCTTCTCCCTCGCCCAGGATGGGGTTGAGGGCAGGGGGACGTGGCTGGGCATGGGAAGTCTCCTGGTCCCCACTGGGTGACCCTCTTGTCCCCTGAGCAATGACAAGCGCTAGACGAGAGCTGCGGGTGCAGACAGATTATTAGCTGGTGCTAGCAGTTCTGGCTGCCTGGGCACCTCCATTCTGCAAGCCCTTTCCTGTTGGCTTCCAGCTCCCTCCAACGTCTCCTTTTTGGGCTGAACCGTTTCAGCCCTGGGTTGTGAGTTGATTAATTTTGGCAAGTTTGAGCCGGAAAAGGCCCAGCCGTCTGTGCGTGTGAAGGCAGCAGACTGGGAATGGGGCGGGGGGATGCATTTTGTCATTCGACAAAGAAAAAACACTTGCCTTGAGCTTCTTTTGCCCAGTGCTAGCACCTCCTCAGTCGAGGGCAGAGGCGTGGAAAGGGCCAGGGACTCGGGGCAGTGTGGCAGCGGGATTGAAGTGCCCGAGGATGCAGAGAGGGGCCTGCTGGGATTTC